ATAAACAAGCACGTGTTAGATTTGAAGTATATGCATGCTTAAGTATGTGTGTCTAAATGACTGATTCTGCCAGACTTTCAACAGACTGACATCAAAGGCAGATCAGAGTGTGGCATTCAGATCAGGTCACGGTGAGGCTTAAACACACATACACACACACACACACATGCACACACTCCCTGCAGCAGCCCCTCCATCAGAGCCACATGTGCTGCTGTGATAGCCGGACCACAAAACCAGCAGCCCAGGGGGATTCACCATATTCACACAGCTCACTTATAGGAGCTGAAAAGGCAGATCCCTCGGTAAGTGGTTTGTCACCTAATAAAGGGCTATTTGTAAGGTGGCCGAGAGAGTTTAACGTGCTGCAACTCAAGAAAACAGCGTTCGTTGTCTTCATTGGTTTGACGTGTTTCAAATCGTCACAATACAAACAGCAAACGCGATGCAAATTCCAACAACAAATGCACATTTTGATCAGAAAGACAACAATAGAAATAAAGTTGGCTAATTGTGTTGTTTTCCTTTTACCATAAGCCTACTAAAAAAGCCTGAATAGCTATATTTATTTTATAATATTCTTATTTTCGATTTATTTTGACCTCGTTTTAACAATTAAAAAGTGAAATGAAGATATGCAAATAAATTTTTCATTACACTCTCAGAAATAAAGGTATATATGAATTACCAAGGGCGAGGCAGTGGCGCAGTAGGTAGTGCTGTCGCCTCACAGCATGAAGGTCGCTGGTTCAAACCTCGGCTCAGTTGGCGTTTCTGTATGGAGTTTGCATGTTCTCCCTGCCTTCGCGTGGGTTTCCTCCGGATTCTCCACAGTCCAAAGACATGCGGAACATGTGAATTGGGTAGGCTAAATTTTCCGTAGTTTATGAGTGTGTTTGAATGCGTGTGTGGATGTTTCCCAGAGATGGGTTGCGGCTGGAAGGGCATCCGCTGCGTAAAAACTTGCTGGATAAGTTGGCGGTTCATTCCGCTGTGGTGACCCCGGATTAATAAAGGGACTAAGCCGACAAGAAAATGAATGAATGAATGGATTACCAACCTACATCACACATGACATCACAGGGGTTCCCGGTTGCAATAGCAAACATGTTGTGTCGAAAACTTAACTTTTACCGTACACCACACTGCTTTTAATGCCAACCGCAGACGTCTTTGGCTAAAAGGGAGCTGAATGGAGTGAGGAAAAATGCTGGACTCTGCAGTTCTCATTTCATATCAGGCATGGTTTCCGCTACATTCATTCTTCCGTGGCGGTGCGCCACACCAAAATTCATCCCGCCACGGCTACATTACAGCTTCTTATTCAAAATATTCAATTGTTTTTTAAAAAGCGGATTAAAATCGCACCGAAAACATATTAAAAGGTAAGGGAATAATAACAGCGCAAACTTTTCTGTGATCGTAGTAGTGCTGTGTGTTCTGTTTAACCTTTCAAGGTGACGTGCTGACTGACTGACAGGTGCGTGAGGCCAGCAAACACGGCAAAGCTTTCAGTTATGATGAACAGTTTCCATAATTATACTTTATTCATAGATAAAGGTCTCTGGCTCTGCATATAATGACTTTATCTTGCTGGAGTTTATAGCTGTTTCACTTTACTTCAGGAAGCATTAATGCCGCGGTCTCCTCCACAAGTCTATCGGAGACATTCATAAATATTCCTAGCAAATCTAATAAATGTTGGAGACATACTCATAGCATAAACGCACTAAATCACACTTCAGCCGCATTTACTCACCCATATGGTACAAATGTGTACTGTGTGTACCCAATGACTGATTTGAGTATTTAACCTTGATATTATGCTTAATTGAGGATATTAAGTTACTTTAGCTATCTTGTGTACATTTCGCAGTTTCTTGTCAGTTTATTTAGGCTAATTATATGCAAACATTCAAAGAAATCATGTAATCTGGTTGAGAAAATAAACAAAACACTTACCTTTCAGGTCACCTACAGCTTCACTGACCAATAGTCACTGCATGATAAGTAAATCCCAGCTGGGTCCGTCACTTATTTCAGTTCATCCCCTTGAAACATATCCCGGACGAGCCCCCAAGATTACCAGCTTACGAATGCTCTAGCGATTTCCAGGTGCAGCCTGTGGAGCTCACCGTGCCAGTTGGTCTCCAAGTCCGATGGATTGTACAGATTCTGTGCAGATTACAGGAAAGTGAACAGTGTGACCAGGCCAGACTCTTTTCCAGAATGGAGAATTGTATCGATCGCATTGGTGCTGCTTCGTTTGTGACAAAGCATGATTTATTAAAGGGTTACCGGCAGGTGCCACTGACGCGGCGTGCTTCAGATATTTCTGTGTTTGCAACTTTCTGCAATAGACGATTTTGGCCTTCGGGATGCGAAACGCTCAAGTAACCTTTTATAGGTTGATGCAGAAAGTGTTATCTAGTGTTACAAACTGCAAGGCATATCTTGATGATGTTGTGATTTATTTTAAACCTTGGAATGACCACATGAACACCCCACTTTTAGTTTTTACCCATTCGGCTGAAGCCTTATTAACTTATTAACTTTTGTTTAAACAAAATGTAAGTTCGCTAAAGCAGTGGTCACTTAAACAGGTCGGACAAGGACAGGTGCGCCCAGTTGAAGCCAAAGTGGAGGCTATTGGTAATGTCCCTGCCCCCACCACCAAACGAGAGTTACATCACTTCTTGGGCATGGTCGGCCACTACAAGAGATCCTGTAAAAACTTCACCTGATTCCCCTGTTAAGTGGGTCCAAAGATTTTGTGTGGGACCAAAAATGTGACTGCTTTCAGTGCGGCCAAAGATATTTGTGTAGTGCCCCAGTTCTCTCTGCCCTTGACTTTACTCACGGTTTTAAAATTAAGGTGGATGTCAGCGCATGGATGCTGGGGCAGTGCTGCTCCAGGAAGGGGTAAACGAAGCTGACCACCCTGTGTGTTATTTTTCAAAAATAAAATTTTCAAAGACACAGCAGCATTACAGCACGATAAACAGGCCCTAGCATTACTTGAAATATATGAGGGTGGTAGCAACTTACCTGTCGTAATTTACACTGACATCAACCCTTTGGTTTTTCTCCAGTGCATGGCCAACTCCAACCAGAGGCTAATGAGGTGGTCATTAGTAGTCCAGGGTTGTAACATTGACATCCTCCAAAAAAGGGTACAGAAAATCCTATTGCCAATGCTCTTTCTGATATTGTTTGTTTCTCTGATGCTAATTGCCGAAATGAGCTTTTGACTTTTATGGGTGGGGGTGTTGCGTTCATAGGAGTATGCGTCTCTCTTTCCCCCTTGTGTGCTCTTTCTCTTTCCCTCTCTACAGATCCCGCCCTAATTACACCGGCGACATACCCTGGGATTGGTTGGAGTGACCCAGGGCATCTTTTAAAAAGTAGAACAGGCGTGGAGCTAGGAGCGAGTTGGTTGGCATGTTGTTTGGCAATTGGTGTTGTAGAAAAATCTAGTTGCAAGTGTTACTTTTGATTGTACTTTTGATCAAGTTTTGGCTTTTGTTTGTTGTTTATCCATCCCGTGTTCATCCAATTCACCTATAGCGCATGTGTTTGGACTGTCGAGGAAACCAGAGCACCCGGAGGAAAGATATGGCTTTGTATTGTCACTAGTGGGACACTAAGACACTCGGCCGCCATGCACACCTCCCACATGTGCCAATATAAAGCCATATCTTACTGCTACGAGTGTGATATTACTCATCAGTTTACAATAATAACTATAAGTTAATTCGCTTAAATGTTTTTACTAAAATGAAGAAATTATCAATAATAGATTTAATACATTGCAATTTTTTTCTTGTTTCTAGTCCAAATATCTAACAAATTCTTAAATCAAGAAGCATTTATTGCACAAGTAAAAATCTGTCTAAATAATAAGTCAAAATTAGGTAAAAAAAAGGCAAAATAATCTGCAAATTGGGAGTCAAATATTATTTCAAACCTAAAAAGTATTATTTTGCTTACACCATTTGCAGATTATTTAGCTTCTTTTAAGGAAAAATAAACTACTTTTTTGTTTAAAAAAAAAACAAAAACACTTTTTACATCTCTATGGCAAATGCTTCTTGATCGAAGTATTTTATTTATATATGGAATAGAAACAAGACAAAAAACTGTAGTAAGAAAAGCAATTCTTTGCAGTGTAGTTTTATTAACATTTAATAATGAAAATAAAGTAATTAGTTGTTGCTTCATTTTAACGGTGCGTTAACCACTGTGAAAAGTTATATGATCAATTTGTCCTGACAGCACATGTTTTCAGCTCATTGTAACTTATTAAACTTACTGTATATTGTAACTTATAAAGGTTAATCATGCTCTAACTTAATTTTATAAGTGACTCAAGTAATATAAGGTCAATAGACACCAAAGGGTAATCTGATTCAGCTTAAATATCTTAAATGTCAACCAGTATTTTTTTTCACAGTTTACTGTTAACGAGCAACTTTGGATTTTAATAATTCACAAAATGCTGCACACACTCCAAAAAAAAAAAAAAAAAAAAATATATATATATATATATTTTTTTTTGCTCGTTCAAGCTACTTATTTAAAATTAGCTGAAACAACTCAATTCTTGAGATTTCATTTCATTAACACAACTAACTTTTTTATGTTCAATCCACATAGATTTGTTAAAAGTGTTGTTTACTAAATCGATTTGTGTTGAGACAACATGAATGGTGTGGAAGCCTGCATTTGTTTACAGTGCACTCAAAAAATGACGCTTGCAGTTTGTTCAAACTACTTATTTAAAACGAGCTTAAACAACCCAATTCATGAGTTTTTTGGGGACAACTTAATTGTTTTATGTTCAATCTGCTTAAATTTGTAAAAACTAATAAGCTAACTTAATTCCTTCATGTTGTCCCAACACATTGATTGTTGCGGTTTTTACAGTGTACGGGCATTTTTCATCCAATATCAAATACTGATGACACTATTTAAAATAAATAAATGCAGAATACCACTGATTTCTGTTAATGTTTGCTTTATTGTCATTTTTTTTGCTGCCTGTTCTTAAAACCATATAATGTATGTAAAAAAAACCTGTCCTTTGAACTGAACATGAGAACTCTACATATCCTAACAACTGATGGATCTCACAGTGCTTCATTCGGGACATTTCACTCAATCACAGACAGAGTTTCACCGTTTCTCTGTCCAGCTTCTCTCTCTCACACACACACACACACACACTACAAAACTCGAACTTTGACATCAATTTAATAAGCATTTCTCCTCTTTAAAAAATAAATCTATGTACTTTGAATAGCTCCGTCTCTCTTCTGTATGAATGCGCATGTACAGATCATAATCTTTATTTTTTTTTTACACAGTTTTGAGAGTTAAACAGAGAGTTTTTTTTCAATTATAGCATGCTAAAAACACCCCACAAGGAGCGAAAACTGACACTTTCATTCAACAAAAGCTATCGATATATATTTACAGAGTAACGAAATCTTCCACCGAAGACAGAGATCTTTAACACAAGCTTGAACTTGTTAGCGTTTTGAGTAGCTCAGGGGTGGGAAGCTCGTCCTCCTCCCCCCCAAGGGTTCCTTTAGGAACTGAGAAAGACTTGAAAATTTTATTTACAAGTCCCCAAAAACAAACAACCTCGCAGTCAAGTCTGACAAACGTGCTGGGCAAAAATTAATTGCATTCCAAGGTGAAGGTTTTGACGTAATTCAAATATGTGTACTGTGCTGGGGGCGGACTGCCCATAGGGAGCACCGGGTACATTTCCAGGTAGTCTGATGGTTAATCTGACCTGCCACTGCAAATCTGGCCTGCTCTCCCCGCTTAACTTGCTGATCGCCACACACCTGCAGTACATTAGTTTTCCCAGGTGAAAACACTGTCCCAGTCCACCCTACTGAGTACATTTATTATGTATATATAAATACACACAGGCATGTGTATATTTAAGAAAATCCTTATTTATATTTAGATTACAATGATACAAATTATATATACATTTAAATATCTATGAAACAAAATTGTTTTGTTTAGTTTTGTTTTTTGAATAAATATGTGCATCACATACAGTTGAAGTCAGAATTATTAGCCCCCCCTTTTTTGTTTCCGTAATTTCTGTTTAACGGAGAGATGTTTTCAGCCCATTTCTAAACATAATAGTTTTAATAACTAATTTCTAATAACTGATTTATTTTTTCTTTGCCATAATGACAGTAAATAATATTTGACTAGATATTTTAAAGACACTTCTATACAGCTCAAAGTGACATTTATAGGCGTAACTAGGTTAATTAGGTTAACTGGGCAGGTTAGGGTAATTAGGCAAGTTATTGTATAACGATGGTTTGTTCTGTAGACTATCGAAAAAATATATAGCTTAAAGGGGCTAATAATTATGTCCTCAAAATAGAGTTTAAAAAATTTAAAACTGCTTTTATTCTAGCCGAAATAAAACAAATAAGACTTTCTCCAGAAGAAAAAATATTATCAGATATACTGTGAAAATTTCCTTGCTCTGTTAAACATCATTAGGGAAATATTTAATAAAGAAAAAAAATCAAAGGGGGGGGGGGGGGGGGTGGCTAATAATTCTGACTTCAACTGTGTACACACTAATATAATAATAATATATAAACTTATATACCTTTGTAAAGCTGCTTTGACACAATAATTATTGTGAAATGCACTATACAAATAAACTTCATTAGAATATTATGTCAAAATAAACTTTTGGATGTGATTTAATCGCGATTAATCTTTGCCCAGCACTAGAAAATAAACAATTTTTTTTTCTTTTAGACTTGATTAGGATCCTGAAGATGATATTGCACTAGTCTATATGGTCGTCTGAGTCTTCTACACGGGTCTCAGATCTTCTCTTTTCACATAATCGGAGGTTTTGTCGTGACTTTTGCTCTTCTTGTTCTGGTGCGTCTTGACGTGTTTGGCCAAATGGTCGCTCCTCATGAACCTTTTACAGCAGTCCGGACACACAAAGCGTTTTTCGCCGGTGTGTGTCCGCAGGTGCCGCTGTAACTCATCTGACCGGGTGAAACTCTTCCCGCAGAAGAGCCAGTTACACACGAAGGGTCTCTCTCCTGAGTGCCAGCGCAGGTGCGCCTTCAGGTGGGATGTTTTACCGTAAACCTTCCCGCATCCGGGGATGTGGCAGATGTGCTGTTTCTTCTTTCCGGGCTCATCACTAGAGCTGGACGACTGACAGTTCGGACATCTGCATCTCCGGCAGCGCCGGGCGGTAGCCAGCGGAGATTTGGTGTGCAGCAAGGCTGCGATTTGAGTTTGGTACTGTGCGAAATCTGTGTGTCCCAACACTAAGCCTCTTTGGATGGGGAAGCGGTGTGGGTGCACCGAATGGGCTACAGGATTCCCTTGCTGAAGGCTCCACCATGGTATATCCTCCCCTGGATTTGGGGATAGCTGTCTCTGCTGCTGATGCACCAGGCCTGAGTGTCCCGGGACAAAGCTAGGCATGGCTGGAGGGATGGGGGCAGGTGCTGCGTAGGTAACCGCAGGTACATAAGTCGGCGGGCAGGTGGACTGTAAAGATTGCATTGAACATGGCAACATCTTAACCGGAGAGAAATCATACGGATATGTAGGATCTGCCGGAGGGGTCAGTGGGAGCTCATGGTGGGACGCGTAGGAGCTCTGCAGGTGAGATTTAGAGGATAGTCCAAAGGAAGGGTTGCTGGAAAGCGTGGATTGATGATTGGCCTCATTACTCCATGGGTGGAAAATCCGTGACGGGGAGCCGAGGGTGGTGTCGTAGGGAACTTGAATAAAGTCCGTGGGAGTGGATCCGTGGTGGTGACCGATCCGGTTACACGTCGCTGCTAAAAGTGCCAGAGGAGAATGTTTGCTGTTTTCCGGAGAGGAGTTCGGAGTGCGATCCTGGAGCAGAAGAGAGAGCTGTGTTTAAACATTCAAATGTGACGGATGTTTGAGAAAAACAAAACAAAACATCAGCTTTAACTTTTTGGGGAACTTTCGACAGATCTGGTTCAACAAAATAGGAAATTTTACTTTTTTAAAAGAGATTATAAAGCAAATTAATTGATATGTATATATTTTGAAATGAGCCATTGAACAAACTAGAAGAGAACTGCTTGTTTGCATATGGATTACTTAAGATGCACTGCTTAAATGTGTTTAATAGATATTTTTAAGCAAAAAAGTGGATAAAATGTGAAAATCTGCCACTGAAGCACTGCTTAAAACCTCACAACTTGAATACAGAAACAGTAAGGTTCAATTAGTTAATGCATTTACTTAAAAAAACAACAAACAATACATTTATTACAGTATTTATACTCAATTTTTTTAAACATTAGTTACTTAAAATACAGCTGTTCATTAGTTCGTATTAACTCACAGTGATGTTAACAAGCATTTAGATTTCAATAATTTAGTAAATGTTGAACAGTATTGTTAATTATTAGTAAATACATTAACTAATGAAACCTCATTGTAAACTCTGACCAATTAATGCTATATATACACAATTTAACTTAAAACTCCAACATGAAGCAGCAAGTACCAGTTTAATTAATTGAGCTGTCACTGAAAATAAAATTAGAAAACTCTCACTAACAACTCCTGATAAAAATAAAAAAAATGTAATGTATTTACGATGAAATCCTCCTCACAGTTCTCGCTGGCTTCATAACTGCACACGTTTGCTGTAAGTTACATTGAATATGAAACACAACTTGAATTTACTATTATTTAATGGGTAACACTTTACAAGAAAGTTCCATTAGTTAATGTATTTACTGACATGAAAAACGATTGAACAATACACTCATTTGTTGTTCATTGATAGTTCATGATAACTCAATGTTAACGAGCATTTAGATTTCAATAATTTAGTAAATAAATATGTAAATCAACTAATGACACATTACTGTAAACTCTGACCAAGTAATGCTATATAATACACCTTTCAACTTAAAATTCTAGCATGAAGTAATTGAAAATCGAATTAGAAAACTTTTAGTCATAACTCTCAATAAAATTAAACATAGTTAGGATGAAATAGTCCGCACAGTCCTCGCAGTGACTCGTTTACTTGACATTGAATATGAAACATTCAACTTGTATTTATTATTATTTAATGGGTAACACTTCACAATAAGGTTCCATTAGTTAATGTATTTACTGACATGAACAAAGATTGAACAATACACTTATCTTTTGTTCATTGATTGTAAACTCTGACCATTTAATGCTATATAATACACATTTTAACTTAAAATTCAAGCATGAAGTAACTAAAAACCGAATTAGGAAACTCAGTAATAACTCTCAATCAAAATTAAATGTAGTTCAGATGAAATCCTCCTCACAATTTTTGCAGTCACACATTTGCTGCAAGTTACATTGAATATGAAACACTCAACTTGAATTTATTATTATTTAATGGGTAACACTTTACTATAAGGTTCCAGTTGACCTGAAAACTCTTAGTATTAACTCTCAATTAAAATTAAGCGATGACATCTTCCTCACAGTTTTCGCAGTCACACATTTGCTGTAAGTTACATTGAATATAAAACACTCAACTTGAATTTACTATTATTTAATGGGTAAAACTTCACTACAAGGTTCCAGTTGATATGAACACTCTTAGTAATAACTCTCAATTAAAATTAAATGATGAAATCCTCCTCACAGCTTTTGCAGTAACACATTTGCTGGACATTGAATATGAAACACTCAACTTTTAATATTATTTAATAGGTAACACTTAACCATAAGGTCCCATTAGTTAATGTATTTACTGACATGAACAAAGATTGAACAATACACTTTACTGATGTTCATCGACAGTAAACTCTGACAAATTAATACTATATAATACACATTTTAACTTAAAATTCTAGCATGAAGTAACTAAAAACCGGATTAGGAAACTCAAAATAAAACGTAACGTTAGTTCAGATGAAATCCTCCTCAGAGTTTTCACAGTCACACATTTGCTGTTAGTTACATTGAATATGAAACACTCAACATGCATTTATTATTATTTATGGGTAACACTTTACTATAAGGTTCCAGTTGATTTAAAAACTCTCAGTAATAACTCTCAATAAAAACGAATCCTCACAGTTCTCGCGGGCTTATTAACGGCTGTACATTCAATATGAAATCATATTTTTTAAAAAAAAGTCGTTAAATAAAAACAACAAACGGCTGGTTGGCGGCAGTTTGTGTATTTTAAAACAACCAGTCTCAAACAAATCCTCGAAATCTGCTTTATCCGCGGTTTTAGCGTCTCGCGAAGCACATTTTCACCAAAATCGCAAACTTTTGACCAACCTGCAGAAACGCCTGTAGTGTGTCGTTCCTCAGCACAGCCACAGCTGCCATGGCAACGCTTCCTCGAGTTCCTCAAGCTTCCCGCGTTTTAAAAAAGCAGCCCCTCCACACAAGAAAAAAACGCGAAAGAAATGTTCAGCAAGACTTGAAGGTCTTGTCGCGGCTTCCTCTCCTCCAGCGATCCCCGGACTATCTGAGGGAGTGAAGGATCACTTCTTTGGATTTGATAAGGACTTTGGTGGGCCGCCAGCCAGTCAGGAGTGAGATTTATGACTTTGAAGTTCGCCGCTGCCCAATCATCAAAGAAGAGCGGCTCTTTGAGAGGGGGAAGCAAATCCTCTGAATCCACACAAAGCTCCTATGGTGTGTTTGTTGGTCTGGATAAAAGGGCTGATTATTAGGGGGGGATGGGACGGGTGGGGATAAAGGCGGGACAATTAATGAAGTAATCACTATGTGGGAAATGTATATACACAAATAATTGGATTTTCTTGATCAAAGACCCCCTTCGCCCGCCTGGAGACCCCCGCTATTGGATGCCGGAGTCACCCGATCCCTCTTTCTGTAATTAAGGATTTGTTGTGCGACAATGCGACTGTGTGTGTTATCTCCAGAGATCTCCGACAGGCTTATATGTATATGTCAGATAACTTCAAGAGGAAGGAGTCGTTTGACTCGGCGTAAAGTTCACACATAGTTTGTGTGTCCCGCGATTTAACATTAGTGACTAAATTGGTCACCCTTACAAGCTGTTTCACAGATTGGCTTTGTTAATAATATAGCAGCTATGGAATAGATGAGAGATGAATTCCTAAATATGTGTTTTGTGTGCTAAAATAGCTGATTTTGGTCAAAAGATTCGCTTCAATTCTTGCGTCAGTTTTGTGAACACAAATATTTTTTTTTAATGTCAAGAACTGTTGGATTCACAAAATTCTCACTTAAAAATTATTTCTTTTGCTCTGCTTGTTCAAACTACTTATTTAAAATGAGCTGAATCAACACAATTCTTCTTTTTTTTTGAACAACTTGATTGTTTTATGTTCAATCAACGTAAATTTGTAAAAACAATGAAACCTATGCCAGATAACTTCAAGAGGAAGGAGTCGTTTGACTCGGTGTAAAGTTCCAATGCAATCTCAAGGCAATTCGTAACTTTTTGATTTAGTGACTAATTCATACAATTTTGTACGATTTGCTTATCACCCAATGACGGTTGGGGTTAGGGGTGGGGTTTGGTGCCACGTCTCCTTTTTAAAGTCGGACATATTCGTACGACTGAACTCGTACGAATTTATACAAATTAGCCACTAAACGGACAAAATGTAAAATACGTACGTTTCCTCGTGAGATCAGGCTGAAAGTTCACACATAGTTTGCGTGTCCTGCGATTTTACATTAGTGACTGAATTGGTCACACTCAAAAGCTGTTTCACAGATTGGCTTTGTTAAAAACATAACAGTCATTAAACAGATTGATTCATAGATATGTGTTTTGTGTGCTCAAATGACTGATTTTGTAAAAAAAAATTATGGCTTTTTTTGCTTCGATTCTTGCGTCAATTCTGTGAACACACAAAATTATTATTTTTACGTCAGGAACTGTTGGATTCACAAAATCCTCACTTAAAAATGTCCACCACCCATCCCCTCTACTTATTTAGAATGAGCTGAATCAACACAATTATTCAGTTTTTTTGGGGACAACTTGATTGTTAAATGTTTAATCAACGTAAATTTATAAAAACAGCCTGTGCCAGATAACTTCAAGAGGAAGGAGTCGTTTGACTCGGTGTAAAGTTCACACTTAGTTTGCGTGTCATAATAACAGTCATTAAACAGACGAGAGATGAATTCATAAATACGTGTTTTGTAGTACAATTATCTAAATCAAGAAGTGTTTTCTAAAAGTAAAAAAAAGTATACTGTAATGTTTTATTATTATAAATATAAGATCGGGAAGCAGTGGCGCAGTAGGTAGTGCTGTTGCCTCACAGCAAGAAGGTCGCTGGGTAGCTGGTTCGATCCTTGGCTCAGTTGCCGTTTCTGTGTGGAGTTTGCATGTTCTTCCTGCGTTCGCGTGGGTTTGCTCCGGTTTCCCCCACAGTCGAAAGACATGCGGTACAGGTGAATTGGGTTGGCTAAATTGTCCGTAGTGAATGAGTGTTTGTGTAGTGTTTCCCAGAGCCTGGAAGGGCATCCGCTGCGTAAAAATGTGCTGGATAAGTTGGCGGTTCATTCCGCTGTGGCAACCCCAGATTAATGAAGGGACTAAGCCGACAAGAAAATGAATGAATGAAATATAAAAGCTAAATTAACTGAGGTTTTTCTTAAAACAAGCAAAATACTGTCAATGAGATAAGTTGTAAATTAGTATTGTTTTATTATTTGAAATTTATTTTTAAATTATTTAAAAATTTATTTTACTTAACCCATTGGAAGACTATTTAGCTTAATTTACAGAATAATTATCTGCATTTTTACTCATTATTTTAGTAAACAAAACAGCATTTTTACTTGTCAAAACCTTTTTTTTTTGCAATACAATGGGAATACTATGGTATGTGTCATGTGCATTTGGGAATATAATATAGGGATTTAGCAATAAGAAATAGTTTAATATTGAATCAAAAGTTTAGCTGAATTGTTCGGAACACATTACTGCTGTAAATGTATATGGGGTAGACATAGACCACAAAGCCCATCTAAACAATCTGTTTCGCTGTGTTCAGGTGATGTTGCGGAAGTTTCCCTCCATCCTCCCTATCACCACCACCACCACCTGGTCGGCCTCGTCTCCACTCAGGAGGTTGGCTTCGCCCTGCCTTCATCTTCAGGCAGGATCTGCCAGCTCATCCAGAGTTCTGCACTATAGACAGGGCTTACGCCAAAGGACTTTATGAAAGGACTGTAACGAATTTGCATTCATGCAAATAATTCACAATAAATGTTCAAACGTTTATCTGCCTCCTAAAGTCTTTCTGGTAGAACAAACATTACACAATTAAGTTGATGCAGAAAACCAGCAAGAATTGTGTTGTTTCAGCAAGTAGTTTGAGCAAACATCCTTTTTTTAACCTGGTAAGTTCCTAGCAATGTGCCTGACTAATTAAAATTAGAGTTTTGATATATTTGGAATAGAAAATGTTCAAAATATGTTGACTTTGGCATAAAAGGAAAATCAATAATTTTGACGAACACTGTAAAATATGCCACACAATCGATTTGTGTCAGGGCAACATGAAGGAATTAAGTTAGCTTATTAGTTTATGCAAATTTAAGTGGATTGAACATAAAACAATTAAGTTTTCCCCCCAAAAACACAAGAACTGCGTTGTTTCATCTAATTTTAAATAAGTAGTTTGAACAAACACCGAATGTTTGCATTTTTTGAGTGTATTCAATGTATCTTTGCATGGCTATTTCCAAAAATCTACATGTGAAACATAAAACATAAGCTTTTGTCATCCAGTGTCAAGGATAAATGACAAAAAAAAGACCAAACCTTTGCTTATTGTTTACAGGGTTGGAAAGATATTTCATTTAGACGCCATCAGTGTGTGAAAGTGACATGATAATGATGACGATGGTATCGTAGTCGTGGGATTCACAAGCTGGAAGAGGAGGAGATCCTCTCTTAGGAGAAAGTCTGAACATTTCCCAGATCTCCTCCCTCAGCTCCACCCCGAACCAGGGGAGCTTTTAGAGCAACAACAAATACGACACCTTCGCAAATAATACTGCAGTCACAGATGAAAGATGGTAAATGAGTGCTGAAATCAGAAGAGCTTTAAAGCAGGAGGTGTTTAGCGCTTTCAGAGTTTTGCAGGCAAGTAAACTGACATATCAGTGCAGCTTCAGGAAAAACAAGAAGAGTAAACACCCACGGAGCGATGTGTCTAATCTATGACTTTTAAACTGTCCCTTTGCAGCAGTTTGGAGAGGCTGATGTTGAAGCAGATCAGCTCTTTTGATGGGATTAAGGTTTCTCATAGTAATGGGGGAAGGAGGGGATTCCCGCTGGGAGGAGATCTCAAGTTTTTCCTGTGGTCCACTGGGAATTGCAAGGGGACACAGTTCTGCTTTTCTATTTAACTGTCAGCTCTAATTATAAGGTGTATACTGTTATATCTTTCTCCAAAAATAGAAACTCTGTTTAGAGAATGATATCATTTTAGGTGTGAACGAGGCTCATTAAAGAGTCTTAGTTCGAGCAAAAAGGAACTAAGAAATGAAAAACTCTGTTATTAGTTACTTTCAATGCCATGAGACCTCCGTTCATCTTCAGAACACAAATTAAGATAGTATAGATGACATTCGAGAGCTCTTTCATTCTCTTGCAGAAAGCAACCTGACCTGACAAGTAAACGTAACTATTTTACATTTTGTCAGTTTAGTGTCCAACTCATACAAATTCGCACGAGTTCAGTTGTACGAAAATGTACGATTTTTAAAAGGAGGCGTGGCACCAAACCTCGCCCCGAAACCCAACGTACATTTCCTGGATTAACATCTGTGTTGATCCTGAAACATCATTTTTGTAACTAATTTTGTACTAATTATCATAATAAAACAATTTACAATTCGTAACTTTTTCATTTAGTGGCTAATTCTCATGAATTCGTACAATCTTATTCATACAATTCTCCCAATGGCGGTTGGGTTTAGGGGTGGGGTTTGGTGCCACGCCTCCTTTTTAAAAATGATAAATTTTCGTTTGACTGAACTTTTACGTATTTTTACAAATTGCGTTCCCTTGTGAGATCAGGCTGGATAGATGGCAAGCACTGGCATTTTAAGCAATGTGTAAATAAGACTTTATCTGATCATCTTCAAGATTGAGCTTTATCAAATATATCTAAATGCGGCAAAAATATCAGTCTAATCTGCAAACAATTACACAAACCCGAAACCCAACGTACATTTTCTGATGACTGAACTCGTACAAATTCATATGAATTAGTAAATAGAAACTGTACTAAAATTGTACAAATTAGATAGAACGAATTTATACGAATTAGCCACTAAATCAAAAAGTTACGAATTACCGTGAGATTGCGTTGGATTTTTTGGTGCACAAAAGTGTTATTGGAGCTTCGCTTGATTTCAATCGAACCACTGAAGTCATCTGGGATGTTTTTGGTTTCTTTTCTGGATTTCTTGAATTTCTCATGACCATTGCTGTCTAAGGAGGATGAGGGAGCTCTCGGATTACATCTAAATATCATAATTTGTGTTCTGAAGATGAACGAAGGGCTCAAGTGAAGCTAGTCAAGATTTTGCCAAGTACGATGTGCTCCTGGATTAACATCTGTGTTGATCCTAAAACATCATTTTTGTTCGAAAATGTAATCCATACCCATTCCCTACCCCTAAACCCAAACAAAACTGTAAATTATTCTTAAAAATCAGAGTGGAATAAATAGCTGGACAACAATCACGTAGAAGTGCATGAACCTAACCATAAGCCTAAATTTAGCATAAACTTTAAACGCATCCCTTAATTCTGATTGGCTTGTTCCAGGATCAATAGATGTTAATCCTGGAACATGTCCTACATGGTAAATTCAGGTTGGCGTCAAGGGAACGACATGAGGGTAAGTAATTAATAACAGAATTTTTTATTTTGGGTGAACTGATTAATGGTAATCCAAATTCAGGGTATTCAGTGCATAATAAGGGTTTTAAATTTAATGCGCACAAAATAAATGACAAGCATGATATTGCTGACTTTATTTCGCAGATTGTGGTACAAAACATCTGGTTAAATTGGATTGACAACCCCAAACACTGTACAAAACTAACACTATATCGAAACTCACGACATGCCATTTAAAGCCATTACTTTCCAGAATGTTTTCTTTAAAATAGTGTAGCTTTACTAGCTTCTCAATAAAGTTAAGAGAGACGATATTGTTCCTCCATTGAGGATTTACAGTACACAAACTTTATTTTGTAGCCAGTCCAATAAACTTGCCAGACCAACAAACTTTTGAATTTCAAGTAAATAAGTAAACAAATAAATAAAATGAGTACAGAGAATCAGTCATCACTCACCTAATCATGTTTGGCAAAATGATTTTAAATATTAGCAGGCTGCCACTGAGAGTCCTTAATTAATTAAGCACAATATGTAATTATTTCCCTTTTATTTTACAAAAAAACTGATGAGCATTTCATAAATACATTAATCCAAAATACTGAGAAAGTATTGCGAACATAAATATTTTTCCTTCCATTATATTATATGTACAGCACATTCCGTAGCAAAAGACTGGACAAGGCAATCTGTAAAAAGAAATAAAGAAAGAAAAGAGAGAGTGATTAATAATCAGCAATCACATCAAATGTATATGTTAAAAATGTATCACGAGTATAATAGTCCGAATATTGAAAGCTACAATACAGTTTATTATTTTATTACCTTACATAAAATCTTTTAAAAAAGTATTAAGGTTTTTATGGGTCATGTCAACGCTATTATATTTGCGATATTTTAAATGTCATAATACTAATTTTCATAATAAACAAACATTTACAATTCGTAACTTTTTCATTTAGTGGCTAATTCGCATCAATTCGTACAATCTTATTCATACAATTCTCCAAATGGCGGTTGGGTTTAGGGGTGGGGTTTGGTGCCACGCCTCCTTTTTAAAAAAATTATACATTTTAGTTTGACTGAACTTTTACGTATTTTTACAAACTGCGTTCCCTTGTGAGATCAGGCTGGATAGATGGCATGCACTGGCATTTTAAGCAATGTGTAAATAAGACTTTATCTGAACATCTTCAAGATTGAGCTTTATCAAATATATCTAAATGCGGCAAAAATATCAGTCTAATCTACAAACGTTTACACAACTTTAATGGACAAATACATCTGAGGTGCAAACTGAGTAAAACAACAACAACAACAACAACAACAACAACAAAAACACAATTTGCTAAATGAAATATCATGAAACGTTTACAGTTGACTCTTTTTGTATTGGAAAAATCCAGCCCAATCTTAAGAGGAAATGTTATGTATTTTATTTTTTTTTATTAGGCTCATCTTAGGTCAGACATTAAAATATACATAATATTGATACGTATAGATATACGCACTGATACTATTCACCAAACAAGAAATTTTCAGGAAAACATCATTATACACTAAAAAAGTAAATAAATAAGGATAAAATACCACATTTATACACAAAGATATACAAACATAAGATAACAAAAATAAAAGAATGAACAAATAAAACAAATAAAAATAAATAATACAAAGAAAAGAAAGATAGAAAGGCAATTAAGATATAGGTGTCTTCTTAAAAATTTTTAGAAAAGAGCTCCAGACTTTCTGGCTTTTGTTTTATTGCAAACCGAATCTTTTCCATCCGAAGAGCGTGCAGGGAATCAAAAACCCATTGCCGATAAGAAGGGGGAGTTGCTGACTTCCAATTCATAAGAATAAGTCATCTAGCCATTAAGGTTACGCTTTCGGCCTGTAATGAATTTAATTCAGCATATTCTGGTGAGATTCCAAACAGCGCTGTTAAGGGGCTTGGGTCTATTGACAATGAAAAAACAGTAAAATGTAATGTATTTTACGTGTAGAAATTCATTCAATTCATATGAAACCCCACCCCAAATCTCACTCCTAAACCCAACCGGCATTGGGGGATGAGCGAGTCCTACTAAAATGTGTGATGGTTTGTCGTTTTTTTTTTTTTTTTGTCAATCAAGCTTTTTTTTCCAATTTCAAGTCACTTCCAGATTCATATTATAACTTATACACATCCACACAATCATCGCTACATCCACCAAATTCAATGCAAAATACAATGTTTTCTTAATGTCTTAATGCAGTTTCCAGATGAATATGACCGAAAGGTCATTACAGTCTAAACATATATATTTACCCACGTACATATACATACATACATACATACATACATACATACATACATACAACACACACACACACACACATTTATTTATATGTACCCACACGGAAAGAACCTATATAAACATATATGTTTTAATATAGGTTTTGAATATATGTGACATATATAAAATTGGCCGTTTTCCTATATTAAATGTACAATTAAAGGCTGATTTATACTTCTGCGTCAAATGCACGCGTATGCTACGGCGTTGACGCATAGCGACGTGTCGCAACGACAAGTAGTGCAAGCTCTGTGATTGGTCGGCTTGGTAGCGCTGACGAGTCTGGGCGTGACCAAAAGCCGCGCGAATGGCGCGACCCCGATGGAGCGATTGTTTACAAGTGTGGAGTCCCGTGAAGGAGCTCCTGATGAAAAGTTTTGTTTTGTGTTTACCTCATAGTTAAAGTTGTTGCACGTCCGCCGGTTCCTGCCTCAAAATGAGCGAGTTTGAGCCACTTGTACATCCCAGAAGCATTCAGAAAGAACAAAACACAGGCGAAGAAACTCGACAGAGAGACTCATTAACACCTCACTGACAACTAGCGTTTTGGAAGTGTTAATGCAGACCAATCAGTGACAGTGCGCAGAAGTATAAATGCACAGCTACGCGCGTTGCATGCGCCGTGGGTCAGGCTGGTCACTTGACGCAGGAGTATAAACCAGGCTTAAAGTGACAAAACGTAAAATAATTGCATTTTCACGTGAGATCAGGCTGAATGGATTTTCAGCAATGAATAGAGAGGTCCTTATTGAAAGAGCTTCGCAATAGAGCTTTATCAAATATATCTAAACGCGGTAAAAATATCATTCCAATCTACAAAAAGTTCACACGACTTTAATAGACGTCTTTCAACAAGATCACAGCACTGTCTACGAGTTTCAGATAAAAGCGTTGAGAGTGAGTTTCTTGATTCCTTTTCTGTTCTTATAGATATATAGAGAGCTTCTTTCGGACAGGTCAGAGAGAGAGTCGTGTCTAACTTTTCATGTTCTTTTGGACAGACAGCAGAAGGAAAAAAAATCAAGCCGAAAAAAAGAAACAAGAAAAAAGGGGTTCCACATCTGTCTGGCACACAAGAGCAGGAGAGAGCTGGAGAAATGCTGGAGGCTAGCGCGTAGCAGAGCCTCTGTAATGGTGTCTCGTATGAGAAAACATCTGTGAATTTCCTCAGTGATCTACAACAAAGTCCAACTCAGAGGAGTCACTCAGCGGCTCTTTGAAGTTCCTGCCTGACAGAAAGCTGCCATTGTGTTCTGCCCTCCGCGCCGCGTAGCCTGACTCTGCTCTCGCTAATTTCCAGCATTTTCCCCTGAAACGTGATCCGGTCTGCTTTGGAGGGCTGGATGTTTAAAGGCAGTGGCAGAGCGGTGCGCTGATGGGACCAGGGTCAGCACATGAAGAGAGGGTCGCCCTTAACCCTTGTGTACTGTTCAAATTGACTACCATTTCGTTATGTTGGGGGCTGTTTTTGCCCCATTGACTTCCATTATAACCACATTTTTTTGCATTGCTAAGCCATGTCAGCATATAATCAAGCATTCTTCACTGCTGGCGGTTTTCCCTGTTGGGAAGAGGTAAAATTTGTCACTTTTACTCTTGATCATCAGTTGTCACCATTAACTCTTTAGATAGACCTGTGCAGAAACAGGTTTCTGGCTTTAATATGAAGTTCTGTGGAGTAAAACAGCAGATTATAGTGTGTGTGTGCAGAAATACACTAACTATGCTTACTATGTTCTGAGAGCTGAGCTGCTTGTTTTTCATTGTCTCAAACATACCAAGGTAAGTGCTTCAAGATCTCTCTCATAATTGCGCACACCCCTAGTAGCAAAGAATTCTGGCCCAGATTTGGCATAAAGCTGGGACATCAGGCATTCATCCGGCACTGGCATACAGCATGTGGGCCAACCATTGCCTGGGTTTGGCAGAGGTGGCACCGTCTATAATGCGGCACACAAGATTTGGGCCAGATATAAAATGTAGTATTTGGCCCAGATTTTAAAAATTGATTGTGGGCCACGTGAGTTTGGCCAGTCTTGACCCACATTTAAAATACATAAAAATAATTTTTGATTAAATAAATCAATTCTACCAATCAGGTCACTGAGAAAAAACAAGGCCCATAGTGTGCCTAAAGCACAACGCTTCATAGGTTTATTAATTTCATTGCAATCGTGACACACCAACCTTTCTGGCCCAGTTCAGGCCCAGTTATGAGTTATTAACTTGGCTGAGACTTGGCCCAGATATGGTCTGTGTTTGGCCCTTGTCTGGAAGCCAGATTTGGTCCAGTCATGTACCGTAATTCACAGCGGCATGTGGGCCAAGCAAAACCTGATTGTGTGGGCCAGAGCTGGGCCAGAGAAATTTTGCTATGTGGGACACATTATACTCCATATAACTGTATAATTTCAAGCCATAAACTAAGCTTTTTTGCACTGATTCTGATGATCAACAGTAAAATTGACAGAATTGACCTCTTCCCAAAAGGGAAAACCAGCAACAATCAGGATAGCGGATTATATGGTGTCATTGCCTTGCCATCAAAAAATGTCATTAAAAATGGAAGTCGTTCATTCATTCATTCATTCATTTTCTTGTCGGCTTAGTCCCTTTATTAATCTGGGGTCGCCACAGTGGAATGAACCGCCAACTTATCCAGCAAGTTTTTATGCAGCAGATGCCCTTCCAGCCGCAACCCATCTCTGGGAAATAAATGGAAGTCAATGGGGCAAAAACAGCCCCCAACATAATGAAAGGGTAGTCAATTTGCCAAAAGTATATTGTGGAATTTTTGAAAATTTTCAAAGCATTTTCCTAAAATACGTGTCAAAATAAGATTTGTAACCAAATATAATTTCATTTGCCAAAACACAGAGAAAGTTGTGGCCAAATTAAGCCTCAAAATCACCTCAGAGTAGATGAAAACCCCCTGAACAGCACATAACACCCTCTCGACTGTGTGTGTGTGTACGTGTGTGTGTGTGTGTGTGTGTGTGTGTGTGTGTGTGTGTGTGTGTGTGTGTGTGTGTGTGTGTGTGTGTGTGTGTGTGGCAGTGCAGATCTGACCCGCTCTGTTCCCACAGGCCTGGAGTAATTGTTGAGGTCACGTCTGGTTTCCTCCAGCCTCAGATCTTTAAGATTATACAAAGGGGCCAGAACATCTAGTTCACAGTATTGACTACATTTACATGGACATCAGAAATTGTAATCTTAGTTAGACAATAATATGATTAAGGTGTTTAGATGAGATGCGTCTTTCATGTTCCTGTTCACATGTTATGGTAGATAGTTCGATTAACATCATTACATCAACATTCGATGCTAGTTTGCTCCGTGTTCGTCAGTTC